ATTTCTCTCCTTTCCAGAGAAACTAGATTTTTCTGGCAACATTTGCCTCTTATTTGTTCTTCTTCCTGACACCCTGGTGGTTTTCAGAGTGAAAACTGGGAAAAATAACCAGATTTCTCCGTGACGTTTCCACCTCTGTTCCGGGGCCTTTGCTGTGTCCACCCACGTTTAGGAGAAAAAGTAGTCTGCTTCTTAGCCTGGTCCCTGACTGGCTGTGGGGCCTTGGGCATGGCCTTGACGTCCCCAAGACTATCTGTAAATGAGAGGTGGTGACACCAGCCATAAGGGGTCGGGCCTGCAGGATAAGGCAAGAAGCCACCCTGCCCCATTTCGGGGGCTGCTGCTCTCAAGCCTCGTGAAACAACTTTCTCTCTTAATCTCTGAAGCATGCACTAGAAAGAATAAATGTATTGCCAGAAAAAGCTATAGAATTCCCCACAGGGAGTAGACGGGGCCTGATGCGCCCCCTGTCACAGGTGAGGGAACTAAAAATCAAACTATAGCACTCCCTAGAGGTCACATGTGTTTTATGGGAGGTTGGGGAAGGTTCAGAAATGACGTGTGGGTCTGAATTTTTAGTGGAGTCTCAGAAGAGGAAGGATCCTTGCAAATAATGCTCAGAATTACTGATAAATATCCAGAATCATAAAAGCTCCTTAATTTCAGGGAATGTAAATTCATAAAGATTTGGAGGAAGGGTTGGGGTTCTTTTCGTGATTGATTATAATTAATTTATTAGTAGGCCAAAAGGAAGGAGGAAAGGGAGGGAGAGAAGAAGGGAGGGAGGGTGGAAGGAAAGAAAACATTCTGAAGCCCACAGCTCAGCGTACTGGGTGTAGAGAAATTCTAAAGAGAAGGTGTGCATGCATTCAATCCTTAACCATCTAGAGCAGCGGTTCTCAACCTGTGGGTTGCGGCCCCCAGGAACTGTAGTAAAGGGTTGCGGCATTAGGAAGGTTGAGAACCCCTGATCTAGGGCCATACGTAACATTTCAAAATGATGCCACATTTTAATTGCTGAAAAATTCCACTGCCTAGAAATCTACTGGCTCTTTAACCTTATGGCATCCTGCAATGCTACGTAGGGCCCTGACAGAGCATCACAGAGAGAGGTGACAGTGTGAACGACATGCAGAGAATTCCGTGTCAGATCTACAGGGGGTGAGGTTTGTCACGGGACAGGCATGCACTTCCAGACTTTGCTTTACCTTGTCATAACGGGGTTGTGAATACCATGTAAACGGTCTTTATGATAACCATTATTACCATTTTCCATACTGTAACAAAAATAAATACGCCAAAGACAGCGTGTTATCTCTAAGTGGAAGTATTGACATCATGGATTACAAAGACAAGGTCGTGATCATGAAAAGCATGCAACGATATGTTGACTCTGCAGAGAATGTAAAAGGGTGTATTGATATTTCAGAAAAACCAAAGACTGAAATGACTATAGATTAATAAATTTCATATATGCAACTTTCATTAATTCAATAAATGTTTCTTGAGCACCCTCTATGTGCTGGCCATCTTTTTAAGAGGCAGCACAATTCATTTTTACTTGGGCATCATATTTATTGTTTTTATGTCGTCGTAAAATGTCATTAATTGACTTTTAAAAGTCCCTCACATAGTAAGTAAGAAAACCTCCCCCGACCCTTCTATGAATAGAATTTAAAAAACAGGCTTACTTTTTCATGGGTATTGTTTCAACACTATAAAATACAAAAAAGGGAGATAACAATTACTTTTCTTATCGCTATGAAAGCTGCACAGCCACTTCCCGCCTATTTTTACTACAGACACAGACATCCAGGAGAAACACACGTTGAGGAGATGAGTGAAGTGAAAAATAAAACACACAGGTTCACCAGAGACAGGGAAGGGCGGCTACAGAGCCACGGTGGAGAGCAGTAAAAACAGTTATCATAAAGTAAAATGCCAAGTCCCCGAGAGAGAGGAACTGCAAACAGAAATAAGAAGGCCGGTTAAGGAAGCTGAGAGGATTAAACAGAAGAAAAAATAGTTAATACAAGCCCAAGAAAATCAGTACAATAAAAACCCCAACAACAACAACAGGAAAAAACCCTGAACAGAAACGACCCACTACTTAAATTAAAAAAAAAAAAAAAATCAAGTTTAATCTGATCCGAACTCATCACTTGGAAGACAGTGCCCTCTAGGAAATGACCCTCCATGGGGGGCGCCTATGGCTCAAATGAGCAAGGCGCCAGCCCCATATGCCGGAGGTGGCGGGTTCAAACCCAGCCCTAGCCAAAAACTGCAAAAAAAAAAAAAAAAGAAAGAAAAGAAAAAAGAAAATGACCCTCCTCCTCGGGCTCTGTGGCAACTCCCATACTTACCAACTATCATACACGTCCTCTGAATCCATTCGACGATAATACTTGGCCAGTTTTACAGCAAAAATTAGAGCCGGAAGTAAAAACACAGTAGCTTTTCCTATGCCAAACCAAAACAAATTCTGGAGAAAAAACAACCAGAAGAGTTAAATGCTTGAAGATGGGGAATGGAAAACAGCAGTTGTTTCGGGGATACATTTTGGGTTTTTGCAATTTTTTAAGGAGTTTCTGTTTTGTTCTTTAAAACCATTTGTGAATTTTGTATGAACCAGCCAGGGTGTGAAGTGCTACATATTACTATAACTCATTTAATCTTTCAAAAATCTTGAGTAGACCCATTAAATTTGTTTACAGAAGAGAAACAGAAGTAGCCAGGGGGAAAGTCGAGATCTGAATCTGGGACAGTGATTTGTGCCATAAAAAGTTTTAAAGCTCATTAATTAAATTATGTTCAAAAGATGTTCAAGGCACAGTATTTCTTTTTTGTGATCATTATAATTTAAGGGTGCTGTGGAAGTCTATAGATTCAAGTGTACCGTGAAACAAACAAACAAAAAAAAGGATTAAAAACACTGCTCTAACCTATCACCTTCCCAAGCAGCCCCAGCCCTCCCCTCAGCCTATCCCTGATTATTTGTGGAGAGGCATTTGCTAGTTGGTTGGGGGTAGATGTGGAGGCTGGATGGACATAGGGAGGAGTGGATTCAGATCCAAGCAGGCTGACCCTGAGTGCCCGAATGAGAACTTCAACTACTACCACCAGCAGGGGCCACCAAGCACAGAACCAAAGAGGAAGAGGGTGCTGGAGGAGGAACAGCCAGGAAGCCACGGCTTGGGGTCTATGTGGCTGGGACAGTGACAGGATCCTCCATGGAAGTCCACGGAGCAGAGAGGTGGACAGGTGAACACCGGAGGCACACACAGCAGTACGACTGTACTCATTCAGAGAGCTCCCCATCACCCTCAGACATCCTGCAGCAACACTGCCTGGGCACATGCTCACAGCAGGACACAGCTCTGAACCTGCAGGCCCTGCCCTCACAGAGCTCAGAGCATTTACCAACCCAATAGTCACATCTCAAGGGGCTTTATTTCATTTCATTTATTTATTTATTTGAGACAGAATCTCATCTTGTAGTCCTTGACGGAATGCCATGGTGTCATAGCTCACAGCAATCTCAAACTCTTAGAGTCAAGCAATCCTCCTGCCTCAGCTTCCCAAGCAGCTGGGACTACAGGTACCCACCCCAACGCCCAGCTATTTTTAGAGATGGGGTCTCACTCCTGCTCAGGCTTGTCTTGAACTCCTGAGCTCAGGCAGTCTACCCACCTCCTAGCTTCCCATAGTGCTAGGATTACAGGCATGAGCCATCACGCCTTGTACCTCAAAGAGCTTTTAAATGACAAATTAATTTGGTGTATCTTTCAGGCTGTGTATCTAGCTGCACTAAGAATCCTTCTGAATGTTAGCAATCTGCCCCCATCATCTGTTTCCTTTCAAATTATTCTGGACCAACAGAGGTTTTCTTTATGAGGCACTCTTGACTACTTTAAATACAATTCTAGTAAAGAACTGTCCCAGTCTATCAGGCATCAGAACACATGATCTAAATCTTAGATTTTAGGGTTTTAAATTCCAACTCATAACTGACCTAAGCAAAAAACTAATTATTACAGCATACATTACAATCATGGGCGGGGGGTAGGGGGGTGGAATCAAAGATGATGGATTTGTTAGGCCTCCTTCATTTT